TGATCTCAGAATAAAATACAAATTTTGTTACAATTCTGCTTAAAAAACACTGCATGACCTGGCCCAGCCCATCCCACTGGTGTTAGTTTACATCATTCTCCCCCATTCCCAAACAGTCTTTGTTCTTATCATATTGGCCTTTCTTCAGCTCTTTAAGCTTGTTTGCTCACTCCCACCACAGGGCTTCTCCAGGGAATATTCTTTCCTCAATATTGTACCTTCACTTAATTCTTCCTTGATGCTTTGGCAGGTAACAATGAGACTCCATTGGCTATTCTCTCCTCCTCAGGCCGGGTCCTCTGTTATATGTTCTTATACCACTGCATCCCTTCCCTATATAACCTCTTCCTACAGTTCATCACATTTTTACAGGATTGCTGGAAAACTGTCCATCTTAACATTGAACTGTAAGCTCCATGAAGACTAGCAAGATCTCTGTTCTGTTCACCACTGTATCTCCCAGCTATCAGAATAGGGTCTGGCATGTTGGCAAATAATAAGACTATATGGTGACCAGGCTACAGTAGCGCAGGCAGTAGGGTGCAGCTGTATGAGGTTGGAGCTGCATGGAAAATCAACACTTAGTTCCGGTGCATACCTGTGATTCTGGCTAACTTGGAGGCTAGGGCAGGCAGATTACACCATGATGAAACCCCTGTCAGAGATGTCTCTCTCTCTGGGACTAGCAGATGGCATAATGATTGTGTCGCTGGACTCCCACATAGGTGAACACGGTTCAAGTCCTAGAGCCGGCGACTTAAAACTCTCACCAGGTGCATATGTGTATGTGTCCAAGATCCCAAGAGGAGAATGGAGAAGGGATTCTTGCTTTCTGTCTCTCTGCCTCTCCAGCAAGTACATGTGACCCATAGCAAAAATCTTTAAGGAAAAAAAAAAGCTCTCTCTAGCTTGCTCACTACCATTTAAAAAGAGAAAGAATACTTGTTGAGAGGCTGGTAGGAGGCATGGTGGTTAAGGGCACTGGACTCCCACATGGCCAACCACAGTTCAAGTCCCAGACCTGGCAGCTTACTTTCTCACTTTCTCTTTTTCTCTCTCCCCTCTCTGGTCAAATTAAAATAAGTAAGTAAATAAATAAAATGATGATTGAAAAAAAGAATACTTGTTGAATTAAATTACCAATTTATTAAAGACAACTCTGAAGTTTCTAGTTCTGGTAATAAGATGGATAGTTATGCTTTTAACTGCCAAGATGGCTAAAAGACAGCTGGAAATAGTCTCAAAGAAGAGAAGATATGATAGATATGATTTGGTATTCAGCAGCATCTTGGTAATAGCTGAGATAATGCTCTTGAAATCATGAAGGCTGGTGATTCTTCAGAAAAGAAAGGCAAGCATGAGAGGAGGATGTACAAGTATTCTTTATCTGAAATGCTTTGGGACTAGAAATGTTTCAGATTTTGTTTCTCGGATGAAAGATTTTTAAATTTTAGGAAAACTGAATACATAATACATAATGAAGCATCTTGGGGATGGGACTCAAATCTAAACATGAAATTCATCTGTTCATCTTACACAGCTAGCTTGAAAGTAATATACAACATACTTGTATTGTAGTATTTTGATCTTGATCTACTATATGAAGTCAGGAGTGAAATTTTTCACTTACAGTATCATGTTAGCACTCAAAGTTTCAGATGTTTTGAGCATTTCAGATTTTGGATTTTCTTTCTTTCTTTTTTTCCCCCCCACAGGCACTGCTGGAGAGAGAAACAGAGACACTGCGAGGGTAAGTGAGAAATCACCCCTTAGAGGGGATGACCTCAATCCCTTCCCCATTCTCCTCCCAGGATCTTTAGCACACATGCACATATACCCAGAATGAGCTTCAAGCTACGTGGTCTAAGACTCGAACTGCAGTTAGCCATATGGGAGTCCAGTGACATCACCACTACGCCATCTGCTGGCCCCTATATTTTGGAATTAGGGATGCTCAACTTATATCAGAATCTATTGAGAAGAGAGACTTTTTTATATTTGTTCTCAGCCATTTGAGGATCTTACTATATATCTTTTTAAAGAATTTTAAACTTTATTTATTTGCTTATTTTAATTTGACCAGAGAGGGACAGAGCGAGAGAGAAGTAAGAAAGCAAGCCAAGAGGTCCAGGACTCAAATGACGGTCAGCCACATGGGAGTCAAGCGCCCTTAACCACCACACCCACCACCTGCTTGCCCTAAGGATCTTACTATATAAAGAGAATTGCTATTGGTAGGAGTTTGGCACCTATGCGAAGTGTAGAGGCAAATTTTTAAAATTAAGAACCATAATTATCAAAAAAGATTTCCAAGCTCACTTTCATGATCTTTTGAGGAACAATTCCAATGGATAAAGACTGAAAGAGAGAGATGAGAAAAGAATCGTCTAGTCTTTTGAGACAGGATAACGTCTTAAAAAGCAATCCGAAGGAAGTTTTCTTTTCTTAAAATTGAGAGAAAGTATTTGTAGAGAATAACAAAAACAAACAAACAAGAAAGAGAAAACTCTGTATTTTTAGGCTCAAAGAAAAACCTACAGTAAAATCTCAAAAGAAGTGCAAAGGACAAATACTTTTTTTTCATTTAATTTTACTCATTGTCATCCTTTTACTTTACTTCTTTGAAGCTGACCAGAGAAAGAAAGTGAGAAAGCAAGCTGCCAGGTTAGGGACTCAAATAGCTGTCAACCATGTGGGAGTCTGGCCACCTTAACCACCACACCACCTGAGAGCCACAAGGGCAAATACATTAAAAAGCTACCATATATGGCATACTTAACTAATGCCAGGCACTAACCTAAATGCTCTAAATACATTATTAATTACTTTAAATCTTCCCCAAAGTCCCATGAAGTCTACACTTCTGTTTTTCTGTATGGCAGATTAAAAAACTGGTACAGCTGATTTTTAAAATTTGCCTAAGAGAAGCAACTGGTAAAATGCAGACTGGGATTAGACACCAGATCTACCAAAATCAAGAATATTCATTAGATGGGGACCAGCAGTTAGTGTAATGGCTATGTCGCTGGACTCCCACGTAGTCAACTGCGGTTCAAGTCCTGGACTCGGTGGCTTAAACTCACGCCGGGCACGCGTGCATGCACGCCCAAGATCCCGCGAGAGAAGAATGGAGAAGGGATTGCGGCGTGGCCATCCCCCCTGGGAGGTGATTTCTCGCTTTCTGTCTCTCTGTCTCTGTCTGCCTGGCGAGCGCACACGCCCTATAGCAAAAACCTCTCCAAAAAAATATATATATATATATTCATTAGAGCATGAACACTTTGTTTTTGTTCTTTGAAGAGGGAACATGTCTTGTAAGAAGGCAGGAAACGTTAGAAGAAAATAATTTGGGACTAAGAAAGGTATATGAAAGAATTCTTGCCCTAAAGGTCTCTGTCCCCTTCCAATGAGCGGTAGCTGAGGGAGACGGGGGGATGGGCCTTGAGGAGAGGCGAAGATTTGGTGCGGGGGCTGGAGAAAAAGAGGAAGGCCCAGAGAAGAGTGGTGGTGGTGGGGGGGGGGGTCAAAGCCAAACTGGTCCCTGAAGCACAAATCCTGAGATTCTGTGAATTCCACTCTCACAACTGAGTTACGGCCTACTACGTGTCAGATACGGCTCTAAGCACTGCAGAGATCAAGATGAAGCACTTCTCTGGAAATAGTTTCATAAACAACCAACATCAGTGACCTCCGGGCATTCAGAGAACCCATTTCTCCTGAGCATCCCACCCAAATGATGGGCTTTTAAGATAATAACCCAAGGCAACAGTGGATAGTGTCGGGGGACTGGGGGGCGGGTCGAATGGTGCAAAAGGCGATTGCTACTCGCCCTTGCCGGGAGCTCCCACTCCGGACTCGTCTTGAAAGACCTCAGCTGGACGCCGAGTGCGAACTCAGAAGCTGCACCCGGGGGCGGCGGGAACGCGACTACCTGCGGCCCCGGGACGTCAGGCGTGGCCCTTCCCCCACCGACTTGGCCGTTCTGGGAGGGCTTCCTCCGACTTTCTGCCTTTCGGTGGCCAAAGGCCTTTGCTCGAGACGTTACCGCACCGTGCAACTTGTACCCCAGCAGCCCAGCGTGGACAGGACCCCCACACAGCAACTTACCCGTCCTGCCCGGCCAAAGACAGCCCAGGTTCCTTTCTGGACACCGAGATCTCCCTGGCATCTCCACCAATACCAGAGCGTAATCAGGACGTGGAGGCGGGACTCAGTGCTTGCAACCAATCAGAGAAGACGCAACGCACGTCTTGGCGCACATAACTAGTTCCCGCTTTTGCAAGGGAAAGAAAAAAACCACAGTTGGCGCCAAACTCCCGTAGTCTTTTGTGGGGTTTAAGGGAAAGGGGCGGGGCGAATGGTGGGAGGGACGGTGACGGGGCGGGGCTTCACTACGGAAGGGGCGGTGCCTGAGCGGAAGCAGGGGTGGGGACTAGGAGATCATTAGAAGGGAAAGCAAGGTGTGAAAAGACCCCTTAGTTTGTTCCTGTATTTTGTAGGCTCTATTGAGGCAACTGAGTGCTAGACATGGTGGTGGGCATTGGCTCCATAATGCTGTTTAAATTTATGCTTGCCGTCAGGTACTTTTATGGTTGGTAGGCAGACAAGTAATCAAATCCAGGGTGTTGGGCGCGTCAAGGAGGGAATACTAATCTAATAGAGTGGGAGAGAGGTTTTTAAAAAAACCTATTATTTATTTAGTTTTGTTATTATTATTACTTTTTAAAAATTTGACCAGAGAGGGAAAGGGAAAGCGAGAAAGCAAGCCACCAGGCCTGGGACTCAAACCACAGATCTCTGTGGGAGTTCAGTGCCCTTAATCGCGCCGCCACCTGCTGGCCCCAAGTTAGGCTTTTTAAAGGATATAATTCAGGTGTCTGAACCTGCAGAAACCGAGGGTGCAGGTAGGTCGAGGGTAGGAACTTAGGCTTGGGCCATTACTGGAAGGGAAGTCAGTCATCTTCCTCCCAGACTTCTCTATCATGGTCCCTAGCCATTTCCTCTTGTTAGTCCATTTTTTGTCTTAATTGTCATATCAACTTATTACATATTTTTTAAAGTGTATTTCTTCCATGAGAGAGAGAAAAACAGATACTCCCAACAAGATCTTCACACAGTGATTCAGTGCCAATGTCAGCCAACCTGGATCACAGGTAGGCCCCTAGTGCTCAAGAAGACCTCAGGACACAGATGGATTACCTCTCCCACGAGGGTCCACTTCCAGGCCCATATTAGTTTTAAATTTTCAAGAAGTCTTCCATTTGGGGAAATATGTTCTAGAAAAACACAAGCTTTCTTGATTCTCTCCCACTCAGCTTTGCTTTGAGTGTTATTTATATTGGTAGTTATTTCAGGTAGAGAGACAGGGAAGGAGCAGAAAGTGCGCAGGTCAAATACATGGCACCTTTTGTTTCTGGAGAACAAAGTAGGAGGTGAGACTGGTGAAACCCCTAGGGGGATCAGACCCTGAAAGGTCATGTATGTCAAGTAAATGTCAAAGAGCTTGGCATTTATCTGTAAATGATTCAAGTGTGGGAGATTACTAAAGGATTTTTTTCTCTTTTTTTTAGAAGTATTTATTTAATTATTCAGGGACCAGCAGGTGGCATGGTGGTTAAGACACCGGACACTCCCACATGGCTTACCGTCCAGGACGGTTCAAGTCCCGGACCTGGCAGCTCTCTCTCTCTCTCTCTCTCTCTCTGTGAGTGTGTGTGTGTGTCATTAAAAAATGAATGAATGAATAAAAATTAAATAATTCTTTAAACAAAAGAATTATTTATGTAATTTTTATTCATTCATTCATTTACTTTAATTTAACCAAAGAGAAACACAGAGAGAAAGAGGAAAAGTGAGAAAGCAAGCCACCAGGTCCAGGATTCAAACCATGGTCAGCCATGTGGGACTATCCAGCACCTTAACCACCATGCCACCTGCTGGTCCTGTACTAAAGGATTTTAAGCTTGGAGTGATCATGATTGATTCACACTAGTAAGATCTGTCAGCCTCAAGAAAAATGTGGGGATGCTATTGCAGTGATCTAGGTCAGAAGAAATGAGGATCTGAATGAGATGGTAGGTGAGGGGGGGATAGATTTTCTAATATTTAGGAAGTAAAAAACAACAGTACTTGGCAATTTATTAAATTCTGGCTTTCAGCAGTATGCAAAATCACGGCCTTTATCAAAAAAATATTTATTAGGCCAGCAGGTGGCATAGTGGTTAAAGCACTCAAGCCATGCAATTGACTGAGGTTTGAGTCCCAGACCTGGCAGCTTGAAACTCATGTACATGCATGCCCAAAAATCATGGGGAAAAAATGGAGAAAGAAATGGGGCATAGCTATCCCACAAGGGGGGTGATTTCTTGCTTTTCGTCTCTCTGTCTCTCTGGCGAGAACAAGCGCCCTTCAGCAAAAATCTTTCAAAAAACAAAGAAATAGGAAAATATTTATTGAGGGCCAGTGGGTGGCATGGCGATTTAGGCATTAGATTCCCATATGGCTGACCACTGTTAGAGTCCTGGATCTAGCAGTTTGAAAAATTACAAATAAAAAGATAAATAAAACTTTTTTTTCCTGAAGCATATAGAACATACACTTCAGAGAAAAAGGGTTCTTTCAAAATTGTCTTCCAAAAAAGAGTAATATTGAAGTCCTTACAAAATCATTCTTTTCTGGGGGAC